TGAAGAGGTGGGGGGCAGGCTGGAGGGCTTCCGGGGCCTCCTGATGGGACTGAAATTAATCTATCTGCAGGGAGGGGGGTGGGGGGTGAGGAGCTCATCAAGCCAGTGACTCAGGCATGACCCAGCTCAAGGTCTTTGATCTCTGGGGCTCAGGATGCAGCCAGAGGCTTCTGCAGTCTAAGACTGGGACAGGAGATGGAGGGGCTGATCAGAACGGGGGCTAAGGGAGGTCTGAGGGTGCAGGGCGAGGGACGCCCTCCACCTGCCGTTCGGGTCCCCCCGCCGCCACGTGCACAGGGATGTCTTTGCCCTGATAGCCACAGTCCGACTCCGTCTCTGGTTTCCGGTCCCCCTTGGTGTCTGCCCTGCGCTCGCACCCAAGGCTCGCCTGGCCGTTTCAGTAAGTCATTTCTGAAAGCCCCTTTTCTCCCCTCAGGGGTTATGTTGCAATGGATCATGGGAGGCAGGGTAGGCCCTGGATTGGATGGCTGGGTCAGTCCTTCCAAGAGAGGAGGGGAGGGACCAGTTGGCTTTGGCAGGATCCCCTTCCTTCCCCTAGCCAGCCTCGGCAGAGTGGGAAATGGCTGGCATCTCCCCATTTCTCAGGCACACAGGAGGACACCAAGGCACACAGCAAGAGCAGGGACCAGGGGGCCTGAGCACCTGAGGAATCCTCTCCTGGGAGTGGGGCTGCCTGCTCTGGGCCTTCCCTCCTCCCCTTGCCAGACACATCCAGGCTCCGCCTCCGCCTCCGCAGCCGGGGCAGAGGGCGAGAGAGGCCGGATTTAGAGTCAGAAGACCCTGGGGTCTGAACCCAGCTGTGTGACGCTGGGTATGTTGCTTAGGCTCTCCGAGCTCCAGGATCCCGGCGTCTACCGTGAGGACTGATGTCATCCTCTACACCTGGGATGGCTGGGTGCGGAGGGCAGGCCGTGCTGCACGTGGAGGTGCCCAGCGTGGCACAGGAGGTAGGCCACAGCTGCTGGTCCAGGTGTCCCCTGTGCCCCGTGCTGGCCCAACAACTGCACTACGGGTTGGATTTAGGAGGGTTGAGCCAGCAAACTTCTTCCCTGCAGATGTACAAGAACCCCTAAAATTGCTTAGGGGGGTGTGTGTGTGTGTGTGTGTGTGTGTGTGTGTGTGTGTGTTGGTCACTGGGGTCCCTGGGTGCAGCCATATTGGGGCGGGGCTTTCTGGCGCCCACAGCCGCTGCGGTGCAAGCTGGCTAAAGCCCAGTCCCTGAGAATGAAAGGGTCTCCTGTGTGGGAGACAACAGGGTGGGGGCCGGGATGGGACGGCTGGGGAAGTCCCTGGAGGAGGGGAACCGCCGGGGGGGTGGGGGGGCTGCTGTTCCCCTATCCTGGGCCCCCTGGCACCTGTTTCAGGTTCACTCTGAGCTGGGAGCTGGGTGTGGCTGAGTAGGAGTCCTCTGACCCAGGTACTGGTGAGGAAGCTCAGAGAGGGCAGAGCCCCCCCAAACCCCAGCATCTCCCTCCCACAGACAGCCTCAGGGGCACGAGCAGGAGAGGGCCCCCCGCTCACAGCCTGTGACGGCCTGTCACTGTGCAAGCTGCCAGCCCCACAGACCGCTGATCAGAGTGACAGCTCCAGGAGGCCTCCCGGGGAGGGAGCCTCTTGGCCGGACTAGGAGGTCCCACCCCCAACCCTCCCTCGAGGACCCCGGGAACGGGGGCGGTCTAGGAACAAAGCGGTGTGCGAAGGGCCCCTCCGGCCTCCCTGGAAGCAGGCGTGGCTCTCTCCCCGAGCTCAGCCACACCCTCGGGGCTCTCCCTGAGGCCTCGTCCTCAGGGCCCAGGCACTCCCCCGCACCTGCAACCGCAGGGGCAGTTGCCAGCCTCCGCTGGCTGAGGGCTGCCTCTCCTACCCCCAGCTCTCGGAGAGTCCAGGAGACAGGAGACATTCGTGGGAGGGGACTGGATGTCAGGGGGTCATGGCCTGGAGTAGGCTCAGGGGTAACCAGGCCAATGGAGAACAGCTGCTCCCACTGGTGCCCCAGAATTCCAGGGTTCCCAGAAATCTGAGGCCTCTTCACCCCTGCCCTGCTCACAGCTGTCATACCCCCAGGCTCCCACAGGGCCGCTCACTCCTCTGAGCCTGGCAGCTGGGAGGTCTGGCCGTGTGGCTGACCCCCCGCCAGAGGGCGAGGGCCCCGGGGGCTGGCACTGAGCACGACTGAGGGCAGAGGGCTGGCGCCACGCACACTGGGCCGACACCGGACCGCACGGGGCTGCAGGGCTAGGCCATGGTGGGGTGAGGGGGCCAGGGACTCGCCAGGTCCCATGTAACAACCCGGAGAAGAACACCAGGCATCATGTCTCCTGGTGTCCCCACACCTGCCCAGTGCTCAGGGGACAAGGACTGTGGGGAGAGGGAAACCAGGGGAAGGGGGTCCCCACCCCCACCCCTCTGGGCAGCCTGACTCTGGCCACGGGTATCTGGCGCCGTGATATTTCTTCTCACACCCCTCCTGCCGTCCCCACACTGGCATGGTGGGCAGGGAAGGGGACAGGGACCACCGCCCCGAAGCAGAGCCTGAAGAGACCGAGGGAGAGGGGGGCTGGGCAGGACGGTGTTCCTGAGCCACAGGACTGGCCATCCCCGCCCAACCCTGTCCTCCAGACCCGCGTCCCTCCTGGGGGCCCCCTCTGATAACGGAACTGTCCATCACACCACCACCTAAGCCAGAGTCACCTTGGCCCCTCCCCCGCCTCTGAGGCCCCCACATTCCATCAGCCACCAAGCCCTCATGGCTCTGCTACCGGAAAGGCCCCAGAATTTGTTTCCTCTGCCCCACCCCCTTTTTCCTTAGGTACCCCCAAGTCTTCCCCTTCCCCTTGCCAGAGACCTCTAAAGACACTAATCACTCCTGCTCAGAACACTCCAGGGACACCCACCACCTTCAGTTCCTAGGCCAAGTGCCCAGCCCGCCCGGGAGGCCCTCGCAGGCGGCGCCTCTTCCTCTCTGGCTACGCGCCCAGCACTGCCCGCTGCTCTCGGACGGCCAAGGGCTCAGGCCGCAGGGCATGTGCTCTCACCTCTCCCCGCCTGGGGCCCCTTTTCCGTCCCCAAGATCCAGCCTCAGGGTCGCTCCTCTGAAGCTTTCCTTGACGCCAGACAATTCACCGCTCCCTCTGACTTCTCGAAGCCCCGGCGTGAGCCCTAGGGAGCCCGACGCCACCTTGGACAAGCGCCCCTGCGTGCGGGGTTGTTTAGACAGCGCTCTCCTGACGGGCGGGTAAGCTGCCCTTTAAAAACATGGATTCCCGGACAAGCACTGTATGTTCTCATTCATACGCAGAATCTTAAAAAGCCGAACTCATGCAAGCAGAGTAGAAAGGTGGTTGCTAGGGGCTGGAGAGCTGGGGACGTGGGGGGATACTGGTCAGCGGGTAGAACCTTCCAGGTCTAAGAGGAATGCGGTCTGTGATGCCAGGCCCAGCAGGGTGACTAGATTAACAATACCATATTATATAATTGAAAGTCACTAAGAGAGTAAATCTTAACTGTTATGGCCACCCCCATGCAAAATCGTAAATATCCCAGGGGATGGGGGTGCTAACTAACTCGTACTGTGGTGATCATTTCATGACACATAGGTGTATCTAATCATCACATTGTACCCCTTAAATTGACATTATGTTCTATGTCAATAATATTGCACTACAGCTGGGGGAAAAGACGGATCCCCCAAACAGCAGCTTGGCTACAGAAGGTTGTCTGCGGGTATTTCAGGAATGAATGCGTGTATTCCAAACTTACACACACACTCCAGAAGCACCCACACCGTCAGATACCCTCGTACGTACACTCACAGCCCCGGAGTCCCCAAGGGCTCGGGCAGAGGAGCGGGCACCAGCCTCCCTGCTTTGCCCATGCGGCGACCTCTGCCTATGGCATCCCTTCTGCCCTCAGCCCCGTTCCAAAGCTCCCTTCGGGGGGCCTTTCCTGTTGTCCTCGGGTATAACTGACTTTCTCCTTCGTGTTGCTGGGGATCTGTCCCACAAAGTGTCCACAACACACTCATCTGTTCTTTTTGTATCTGTCTCAGCCCAAAAGACAGATTCCGTTTTGGCCTGGGAGGCGGGGAGGGGGGTCTGAAGAGGGAGACTGGGACTGACTTGCCCCAAGGCCTCGGGGACTCGGTACAGAGAACGCACAGTGGGTGCCCAAACATGCACCGAAAGAACAGGCAGCCCTGTTCAGAGTCCAGAGGGCAGCCCTCCAGCAAAGCGACCAGACCTGGGCTGCAAGATAGGATTCCAGCAGCTGTCTCCCGGAACCAGGCGGACGTCCCGGCCCTCCCCGCCTCCCCTACACGGGCCTGGTTCTGAGCTGGTTCCCCCCAGCCAGCCGGAAGCCCGCTTCTCCTTACTTTCCCCACGGCCCCTGCGTGCCTGTCAGCTGGAATCACCCTCACGAATGCATTCACCCATTTCCCCCAGAAATCTGCCTGGCAGCCAGCTGCCCCTTGGTGCTTGAAGCCAAACCCCGGCAATGTCACCCCAGCTAGGGAGAAGCAGAAATCCCGGCCAGGAGTACAGTGGCCAAAGGAAGGAGGGCTTCCCTGGTCCGTCCCCACTCCCACCCCTGCTGCAATGGCACGCACCGGCTGAGCCTGCAGACACCGGAGCAGGAACCAGGGATGCCCTGCAGGTGAGGCCTTGGTCTGAAAGACCCTCCCTGCCGGGGCGCTCCAGACTGGGGTCCTGATCCCGCAAGATTCCACAGGGATACCGCCCCCAGACCCAGGACAACCTCAAGTGGATGCCTCAGACCTAAAGTCGCTCAAATCTGAGAAATCCCCAAGAGGGCCGTCCAGATGCAGAACAAAACTTGCCGGCATCTGGAAGGCTTCAGACCCTAAAACTCACTGAGGGCACTCCAGACCCAAGGACCCCCCAGAGAGAAGCCACAGACCCCAGAGCCCCTCAGAGGGGCCCAGAGCCCAGTCTGTGGGCACAGGGACCCTCCGCACTGACCTGGCCCTGCGGGGGCCTTGCCCAGGCTGAGCTGCCGCAGCCGCCTCTGGTGGGCCCGCCCCTCGCAGTGCACCTGGGCCTGGGCTGCCGAGTTCAGCTGGATGTTGCAGACGTCACACAGCGTGTACGATGGCCGTTTTCTCTCACGCTTGGGCTTGGGTGGCTCTGGGGGCGGGGGAGGGCACTCAGCAACTCCAGGTATGGGGGGCTCCTTCTCAGCAGGAGGAGATGGGCTCAGCGGCCGCTTCATACCTGAGTAGGTGGAGAGGGAGACAAATCAACAAAGGCTGAGTGGTGTGAATACATAGAAAGAGCAAGATGGGATCAAGATCCAGACCTGGCTGGTGTGGCTCAGTGGCTTGAGCACTGGCCTGGGAACTAAAGGGTCGCCGGTTCAATTCCCAGGCCAGGGCACATGCCTGGGTGGCAGGCCAGGGCCCCAGTAGCGGGTACATGAGTAGAGGGAAACATCAACCACACATTGATGTTTCTTTTCCTCCTTCCCCCTCTGTCTAAAATCTCAAAAAAAAAAAAAATGGCCCAGAGATGCCTGGGCCTTTTATTCCAGCTGCAAGTCCCCAGCTTTTGGAGAGCCCCAACCTGCCCCAACCTGAGGATGGCAAAGGGAGCACCATGGGTGGGGTCTGGGGTCTGTTTCAAACGCAGCCGTTTGCCTGAGAAGGTGGGAGTGTCTGGAAGAGCGTCAGAAATGCAGGGCAGCCAACCCCTGGGGACAGGCGTGTCTTGGAGAGCAGGCGGGCCTTTAGGGACAGGCAGCAGTGAGGCTGCTGGAGTCACATTTTGGGAAGCCAGAGCCCTGTTCTCAGCCCCGTGGCAGGCGCTGACAATCCTGTGACAGGCAGGCATGTGGCGCTTGCTGGAGACGCAGCAGCCACCGGCCAGGGTGGTGATTGCAGAAACCCAACCTCCCCGCGCCCAGGGCCCGGCCAGCTGACAGTCCCAAATGGTGGCGGTGTGTGAAGCTGTCCCCACCCTTGCCCCGCATGGCTCCAGATGCGCCCTGCTATCTTGGCCGCCCGGCCTGTGGCAAGAGTTGGTGTTTTTAGTAGAGACCTGGGCCCTACAGCCAGGGTCTGTGAACGCACACACACACACATACACACACCCTGGCTCCCACAGAGCCCGCACATCACCCCTCCAGGCCCCTCATCTTCCACAGCCTTTCCTTTCTGACTCCCTTCTCAGAAATGCTCCCTCCCGACTCCCCTGCCTGTAATGGGCTTTATTCTCAGGCCGCTCACTGACCTTTCTCCGACTGAACGGTGTCACTTTTCACTTCCTTTCTGAACCTGGGTGCGTTCTCTCGCCTCTGCTTGAGACTGGGGACTTCCCGAGGGCAGGGACTGTGTCTCTTTCTCAGACTGGGGGGTCCCCAAGGCTAGGGCCTCAGGGAGGCGTGGCTGAGCCCCTCTCTCTTACGGGCTGAAGGGCATCCACCAAAAACTCATATGTCGGAGTCCTAACCTCCCAGTACCTCCAAATGTGGTTGTGTTTAGAGAGGGGGTCTTTACTGAGGTACTACGTTAAGATGAGGTCATCAGATAGGTCCTGATTCAGTGTGGCTGGTGACTTCATAAGAGGAGGAATCCGACACAGGCAGTTGCAGAGGGAGGAGCGTGCGAAGACACAGGGCGGAGGCGGCGGTCTATGAGCCCAAGAGCGAGGCCTCTGAGGAAACCAGCCCTGCCGACCCCTGGGTCTCAGGCTTCCAGCCTCCAGGACTGTGAGAAAATACGTTTCTGGCGTTTAAGCCGCCCAGGCTGTGGTGCTTCGTTATGCGGCCCAAGCAAACCAATGCATCCTCCTAAAGGGCATTTCCTTTTCCCTGAGCTCAGGCTCATTTTGCAAATTGGCCCGAGTGAAGGGAAGCGGGGCCCTAACATTCTCATAAGGCCACACATCCAGTAGTGGAGCCCGTATCGGAACAACGAAAATTAATTTCTCAAGTTCACAGCCGAGAGCTAGGAGCCCCAGGGCCTGCCCCCACCCCACCCCACCCCCGCTCTCAGAAAGCTGCTTATCATCTTTGTGGGCGGTGCTCTCACGTAGCAGCTCTGTCACTCCAGGTGTGGGGACTGCGTGCGAACAGAGAGACGGGCACAGCCACGAAGAGCGCGAGCTCTGTGTTGACGTGCGCCTGGGTTCGAGTCTCACTCAGCCACTTCCTGGCTCTGTGACCTCAGCCTGGGGCCCCTCATCTGCGTATAAAATGGGGGCGATGACTAACAGCTCCTAAGTCACAAGTACAGGATTACATGAGCTGATCTATATAAATCACTCCTCAGCATCCTATAAAAGTCAGCCGTCAGTAATCTGCAGTGTGGCTGTTTTGTAGCTTGTCGGCGGAGCCACCCGGTCTGTCACCTCACGTGTCCGTCTTGGCATACGGGGGTCCCCGTGACCGTCTCTGCTACCCCATCGTCTACTGAGGCGAAGCCGGGTTGCTCAGTCTGTGTGTGTGTCACAGAGTAGCTCTGTCACAGTGTGAGTGTCACTGTGCCCGGATCATGGAATGAGACTGTCCCTGAACATCGAAGACTCGCCATGTGCCCCCCCAAAATTTACATGTTGAAATCCCGAACCCCATAGGCACTTGAGACTATGAAATACAACCTCGTTTGGAAGTAGAGCCGTGGCAGACATTATTATTCATTAAGTTGGGAGGAGGGCACACTCGAGCAGGGTGGCCCCCTAATGCGATAGGACACCACCAGTGTTCTTATAAGGGGGGGATTGGGGCACCGTCGTTCACACGGGGAGGATGTCATGGGAAGGTGAGGGCAGAGACGGCGGCGATGCCTCTCGGGGCCAAGGAACGCCAAGGGCTGCCAGCAAACCACCAGAAACCAGGGGAGAGGCATGGAATACACCTCCTCACCACCCTCAGAAGGGACCAGCTAACCCAGCGACACCTTGATCTTGGATTTCTACCCTCCAGAACTGTAAGACAACAAAGGTCTGTTGTTCAGGCCACCTGGTTTGCAGTACATTGTTAGCAGCCCGCGATGACTAACCCACCGTGCGTCTGACTCTTCCGTGGTCAGAGGTGATTTGAGGGCCCCCTTCATTCTGCAGGGTGATGGGGCTGGGGAGCAGTACCAGAGAGAGCCTCCAGGTGGCGCAGCGAGCACCCAGCGGGAAGATGGGAGGTGGAAGCCAGGACCCCTCCTCCAGGCGGGGAGGACCCCACTCCTACTCACTCCTGGGGCAACCAGGCTGCCCCTCTGAGCCATGCCAAGCTCCTGGGCACCATGCCTGGAATCTACGGCACGGCTTTGCCGCACTGGAAAGTCACTCCCATCACTTTGTGAGAACCACCCGCTCCGAGGCCCCACTGAGCGCTCCCCCCGCCTCCCCGCGCCCCACCGCGAACACTCAGCACCCTCGCACCTCTGATGGACGCCATCCTAGCTATTCTCCTGCCTTTCCCAAGTCTCCTCCCGTTCTCCCAGCAGGAAGACAGTGCCAGGTGCAGGTGTTGGAGGGGCGTCCAACTGGCCAGCGGAAAGAGGCGTTCCCGGCCATGCCAAGGGAGCTGCCTGGCCCCTCCAGAAAGGGGACAGTGGGGGAGGGGGGTTCGACATATCAGTGCAACTTAGGACAGGCATGCCGAGGCCGTGGCCTAAGCGAGCAGACAAGTATCTGCCATGGGGCAGATTAAACCTCCATGATATACAGCCTCTGGGCTTACAGGGCCCTCCTGGATTCCGGGGATAACTGTGTCCCCCACAGCCAGGCTGCTGGGCCTGCCCCAGCCTGCCCTGCGTGCCCTGGCCTTCCCAGCTGTCCCTGAGGAGTCACACCGCTCCAGCTAAGCTGGGGCTCCCAGCGGATTTGGAGGGGTGGGCAAGTTTTAGGGCGCACAAACATCTAATCTCTCTCAGCACTCCCCGCCCGAGCTGGCCCCTATTCAGAGCCAGCGTGACTCACCCCAGCAGGGCCTGCACGTGGACGGCCCCCGGCCCACATGCTCTCTTTAGCAGAAGAGGAAATCGAGTCCCCGGGCAGGAGAGTGGACTCTTCGAAGTGCTTGGAAAGAGCGTGCAAGAACTTCTTCTACAAACCTCCCCGCCTCCGTCTCCGCCACCCGGCTGCCGGGCCACGTCCTCTTTAGAACGACAGCCACTTCACTGAGAGCTGACGGTGTGCCAGGAGCTTCACGCACAGGACCTCTCCTACACTCCACGGCAACGCCATGAGGTGGGCACTATTATTAACCTATTACCCCACGTCGTAGATTAGTGAGCAGGCTCTGACCGCGTCAGGGCCGGACCTGCACCTGCACTTGTCTGACTCCGGAGTCCAAGCCCTCAACTCCTGCCCCGTCCCACTTGGCCCTGAAGCCCGTCAAGCCCCCGACTGGAGCTGCTGGGCGGGGAGGGGTTACCGAGTCAGAGTGGGGCTCCTCCTGGGGAGGCCGGGGGAAGGCCAGACCCTATCAGGCCGGGCTGCCAGGCAGGGAGGTGCCACACCCTGGTCGGGAAGAGCCGGAGCCAGAGGGGCTGAGAGGAAAGGATGGGAGGGAAGGGGGAGAACCGAACTGAACGCGAGAGAAGACCGGGGGGAAAGCAGAGCAAAAGAGCATGTGTGTGTCCGGGTGCCTGTCTGTCTGTGATCTACACAGGGATGGGGGTTGGGGGCAAACCTGTGTTCTGTCCCCTTCCTTGGGGGCTGGACTGGGGAGGGAGCCGCCCACCTGGAGGCTGGCTCACCCCAGAGCTGGAGAGCTGAGGGAGGCCAGGATGGCTGCCTGCCTGCCTGCCTGCCTGTCCATCCACAGGAAGCCACAGGGACTGGGGGGTGGAGGGAGGACCCAGGCAGAGCCCAGGGCCCGTCCCCAGCACTTCTTGCTGAGTGACAACGGGCCTCAGGGCTGTGTTTCGGGGAGGCGGAATTCTCTGTCTGCCCACCCGAAGAGGGTTGGATAGAAAGAACTCTGGAGGCCACCCAATGCGGAACGAGAGTCGATTCACCTGCAGCCCCGGGCAAGTGGGTCCTCAGCAAAGAGCCGCTTTTGCCGAAGGGTTAACTGGAGAGGAAGGTTCTCGGCCCGTCCCCAGCCTTTGGCCGGGCATGAAGGGCTCCCTCACCAAACCTTTAATGAACCTAATTACATTCTGGTATTTTCCCCCACATCTGCCAACATCTACCCTCCCGCGTCCTCCAGCCAGGTCCCGGGACCTGCCTTTGAGAAGGGAGCCTGGCTGTCCGACCAGCCTTGGGCCCGTCCCTGCCCCCCTGGGCTTTGGTTTCCACCTTTAAAGAGAGGGGGATGGGCTGAGCTAATCTCCTAGGTCCTTTGCAGGAGGCGCGGCAGCACAGAGCAGCTGCCTCTAAGGAGGTAGGCGGGGGCGGGGGGAGGGGGTGCCGATGGGGTGGACGTGGAGAAAGAACTGCCCAGCAGTGAGTGCCCGCTGCCTCCTGGGCACTGCGGGAACGTGGCCTCCGTTCACCCCCATAACTGCCCTCTGAGGCTTTACTAACGAGGGACCCGCGGCTCAGAGTCAAAAAGGGAGGTGAGCAGGGCCAGTTCCTTCCCATCCCATGATCGGGGCAGGGGCTGCGGACGCTGGTGGCCCCCATCCCCGTCACTCACAGGTCTCGAGCAGGAGTGTGGCATCTCCCGTCCCCACTGACCCAGCTGCAGAGAGAAGTGTCTGGAAGAAGAGAGGTCTTGTCTGTTCGTGTCCTAGTACAGTAGGGGCCCTCCTGGGTCTGGCTGCCGCCTCAGTGTCCCTGGGGGGTTACCAGGGAGCACTTTGGTCTCTGTTCCCTCTCCCTCCCTTCCCCCAAGGCCAACACCTTCCTAGGGTGAGGAAAGGGGAACACCCACTTCAGTGTGTGGCCACCACAGAGTGGCACCACCTCAGCCAGCCTGGGGGCCCAGAGAGCTGGGGTCACTTAGAGCCACACCCAAAACTCCCCAGAGGTGGCAGAGACTCCCACCTATTGGGTAGGATGGCTTGAGTGGGGCCGGCCGTGCCCACCCGTGGCCCACACATCCCTGCTTTGCAGAAGCAGGTGGTCCTAGGGGCTGGCCAACAGCTGGTCCAGGTGTCGGGGGCCAGGTGTGTGTGGGGGTATTCTGCTGGGCAAACCAAGGCAGCCATGGCTGTCTCTCCACCCAAAGTGGTGACAGAGGAAGCCTGTCGCCTTTCCCTTGGACTTCTGGGTGCTGGGGATTTCAGGAGTGAGCTGGCTAAGAGGTGCTGAAAGTCAACACTCCGGCTCCAAGGAAGGGAGAGAGGGAGGGCACGGGAGGTGAAGGAGAATAATGGTCCAGGGATGAAGTCACTGTCCCCTGCCATTTCCCCTCCCCCAGCCTGCTCTGTCCTTACCTTCTATTGGTTGGGTATTCCAAAGGCCCTCCTGACACCCCCAGAGATAGGGGCTGGCTCTCCTGGGCAGGGAGACGCCCCCCAAGACCCTCAAGCCACACGCACTCAGGAAGGAAGTCCTTCTTGCTCTCTAACTTGCATGTCTCCCTGCAGGGTCCACAGAGCTGCCTCTAAGGTGGTGGGTGTGGTGGGGGAGGGGTTGGGAAGGGCGTATGAGCCTCAGTGCCACCTGTTCCAGTCTGTGGCTACCAGGCAAGGCCTGGGAAACCTGACTTGTACAGGAGACGCCCCAGGCCCCCTGGCCGCCTCCTGTGGGCAGCAGGGCCCAGGCTCCTGGCACAGCTCAGACTGACCTAGGGCCTGCCCCCCAGCCCAGCTCCCCCAAACCCCACTCCCCGCACATGGTGGCCGCACCAGCAGCATGTCAAATCCGGCTGGGGGAGTGAGTCCCGGGAGCCAGAGGGAGGAGGGGCGGGAGGCCCTCTGAAGGTACAGAAGCTGCGGGTGGGAGCAGGCAGGCCCGGAGGAGGGCCCACACTAGCCCATCGCTGAAGGGGAGCCAGTCTGCTCAAGGGGGGAGGGGCGGGACAGGGAGGCCTCCAGTGGCTGTGATGGAGGAAGGTGGGGGAGCTCGCTGCACCCCCAGAGAGGATACACCTCCCTTCCCTCAACCCTCCCATTCAACTCTACCCCAGAGACTGCAACCGGTGGATTGATTTGGGGGTTCTCTAAACTCCCCAGGAAAACGAGGCATTGAGTCCAGCCTGACTTCGGACAACGGTCCCCCTCCCCAGGGTGGAGGTCTCACCCTTCTTGCCCCGTGGTCCCCAGCCTCCCTTCCCCTACCAGGGGCTGAAGTCCCTCTCACCATCACCCTGACTGTCCCTCCGGTCAACCTCGGTTTCTCGAAGAGCTGGGGCTCTTGTCTCCCACCTTCCCCCGACTCCAGGTGGGGCAAGGTCCTTGCCGCTGCCTGCGGCTCCGGAGAGCCACCTACACCCGCTCCCGGGCACGGCTGGCCCCCCTGCAGGCACTCAGCCCCAGCGGCGTGTGGGTCCGGGATGGGGTGCGCCGGTACCTACCTTAAGGGCGCTCTGGACCCGGGCAGGGCTGCATCTAGCCGCCCTCGGCCACCCAGGGCGACACAGAGGTACGCGGCGGGCGAGTCCCGGGCGGGTGCGTCCCTGAGCGGCAGCCGTGTCTCCCAAGCCCGCCCCTGGGCGGCCCGGGCGGAGCAGGTGCCAGGAGCCGCGCCGCCCCAAGCGGAGCCCGGGCGAGCCGGGCAGGCGGGCCACTGAGGGGCTGCACGCCGCCTGGACAGGGGGCACACGGGGCTCCCCCGCAGAAGGGCTGGGCCCACGGGGGAGCTTCTCCCTTACAGCTGGCGGGCCGGGTCTGAGCGCCCTTCAGCTTTCCCAGGGGTCCCAGATTCAGGGAAGGGGACCCCAAAGTGGCCGTCTCCCACGGGCCACTCCTCCTGTCATCTCCCTGACCCCCTGCAAATTGCCCCCCGTTGTGAGGGGAAGCTCAGAGAGAAGGAGGAAGCAGACATTCATGGAGCACCTACTGGGTGCCAGGAGGGATCGCATTCAATCCTCATAACTGCTCCGCTGGGATTGGCTTGATCCCCATTTTACAGAGCAGGAAATGAAAGACTTGGGGACATTAAGTGACGGATTCAAGTCACACGGGAAATGAGCACCAAATGGGAGACTCCAGGCTGGTCCTAGGAAGCGTTTCTGGAGGTCAGGGGAGACAGCAAGAGGGGGGCGCCTGCTGGGGAACCCTCGCCCCCGCCTGTGGCTGGGGTTCCTTCCTGAGCCCTCCCAGGGATTCAGTGCATGCGTCCCGGCCACAACGCAGGGACACAGGGCCGAGCAGGGCAGGGCGGGAGGCAGGAGCCGGTGGCATCACCTCCTAAGAGAGCTCTGCCATCTTTCCATTCTGGGGAGGCCGTAATGGGAAGAAAGCAAGTCCCCAAGAAAGGGGACAGAAGTGGCTCTTGTATGCCAAGAAGATGTACCAGCGCTGCCCACCCGCCTCATGTTCCGGCACGCCTCGTGTGGACCTCACCTTCTGGGGAGGGGGCCCCCCTGTGAGGGGCCTTGGCAACGCCCCCACCTCCGCGGCCCAGCCTCCCAGCACCCCTTCCTGGTCCTCACACCCAGCAGCCTGTCCCCACTGTGTCCTCAGCCTGGAGCCCCTCACCCCCCTTCACAGGGAAGTTTCCTTGTTGCTCAAGCCTCAGCTCCAAAGTCTCCTCCCCAGGCCTGGTGTCCCCAGCCCCTTTCTCCTTTGTCCCAGGCCCTGGTTAGTTTCCCTTTGAGCAGGTCTCCCGAGACCTAGTCCGTTTGCTTGGGGACTTACCTGTCTCCCTCAGGAGGGCAGGGCCTCTATTTCCCGGGCACCCAAAGCTCTAGCAGAAAGCTCGGTGCGTACCTAAGAGATGCTCGACAGATGCTTGCTGAGTGAATCCGTGAACTCACTTCCACTCTGAACGTGCATCCACGTTACACTGTACACTATAAATAGGGGGGTTGTGTGGTAGGTGACAAATCTTAATTAAGCAGTTACTAAAAAAGATAGTAATACGTCCAGGGTGAGGATGGCAGTCATAGCACACCGCGTGCAACGTGCCGTCCGGCCGTGCACCCGTCCTTGACCCTGACCCAGCCACGGCGCCCCCTCACAGCCCACACCCAGTCTGTCCACGGAGAACCG